TTGGAATATATGATTAATTTTCCATAAATAGTCATGTCTGGCATTAATACCCGACTCCAATTAACATAGACTCTTTCAGCCTTGGACACTTACACTATGCACGCACAAGTGCGAGGGCAGAAAGGGGAGGGACAGCATCTGGCAATCAAGAGTGCAGATGATGCTATGATGGGGGACTGTAGCCCACTACCCCCTTCCTCCTCTCTGGGAAACATACAGGTTTTTGAGATCCACATTTATCTACTGGATGGTCATGTCATCAGTGAGCTACATGGGCTGAGTCCCATTTGTATAATTCTCTCATTTCTCAAGTCCACCTTTTATTCTCTTGCATCCCTAAGTATGATCTTCACAAGTCACCCCATTAGAGCATCCATCTGCCCTCATAACTTTACTGAACGAGCTAACCTCTGCCTTCGTACATCATCCTTGCCTTCAACAGAGGTGACAGTCTTCAACCAGGTTGCAAATCTGGTGAAGCATTTCCATTTGTGCTACTATTAACTGAAACTGCTTCCCCAATTGATGTTTCTTGAATTTCAAGTAAACCCTTCAAGACCTTTGTCATATATTCAGAGTTGCACAAACTTCTAGCTGGTTTCCTCGTGATATTCATGTTCATGTGCATGTGCATGTGGTATTCTAACTTCTTTTTTCCCCCCTTATGCAGCAATTAATGCTTTAACAGGATTGTCAGATGGGGAGTTGGTATCCAAAGCAGCTGAAGCTTCTGAGGTAGTTTATTAATTATTCAATTTCGTAGATATGATAACATCCCTCATATTATATATGGTTACACAGTACACCTGTATATATGGTTACATAGTACACCTGTATTCCTGGGTACGTGATGTCTGATACTGTACTGAGATTGTGGCTCAGATATTTGGAGAGGATGTATGTCTCCAGAATTCCATTTTTTATTTATAAATCCTGGTTGCTGCTGGCCTGAGAATTTGTTTTTTCGAGCATAACTTTGTCCATCCTGGTTAACTTATGGTTTCTATGTGTGCTGTGAGCCTGTGAATGTTGGTTTATGCGTGTCTATGTTAGAGTGGGTTTTGCTTTAGATTTTATGTGCTGCGAGTGTAGGTTTATGCGTGTCAATGTTAGAGTCGGTTTTAATTTAGATTTTAACCAAATATAGAAGCCACATTGACATCCCTTCCTTTATGTTCAAGGTTGGTGCCAATGGTGCTGGCTACATCTGGTCAGTTTGCGAAGGACGTGAAGAAGAATGGCGACATTCAGTTGCACCCATATCTGAAGACAGGTTTGCTGAGATCTTGCAAGCTGCAGCAGAAGGCGTGGATCTGCCTCATATAGACAACCCTCAGCACTCTGAAGAGTTGGTGGCACCAAGTGTTGATCCTGAAAATCTTACCGAGGATAACATAGATGAGTTTGAAAAAGAGGTACTTTGTATATAATATAATTTAAAGACAATGGTCATTTTATTCTAAACCCATTAAAGTTAATCTTTTCACCATTTTTTTGAAGGTTGAGGCAACTTTCCAAAGAGCTGTGCAAGAAAATATCAAGGATGATAATGTTATATTGGAAGTAAACTCGCTGCGGTAAAGTCTCCCTCCATATTTTTTATCAAAACTAAGAACTTTGTCCTTATCTCCTGAGAAATGTCTAGTAAGAAACTTAGTAACTAAATGTATATACTCCTGCTTAGGTCTAAACTATTTGGTTGTCCGCTTTCAACACCTTATTGACTTTGGATAAGGTGCTTGGACTAATTTTGACGTAGATATGTTTTCAATTTGCAGCTTGTCATACAATATGGCTGCTACAGACTGTGCTGGAGCGCTATTCTATTCAGTGATGAAGTTGGCTGTGGAAACACCACATAGTTCCAACAGTGAGTTTTGCACCCTGTCATGTTTGATTGATGATTATATTGTTATAACATTTTTATCCAGTTGACTTGCTTTGTTTTCTGATACATTTGGGCTATTGAACTTCCGTTTGCTAATAAAAAATAACAACTTAAGAAATATCAGGCTATTCTGCTACTCTTCTGGCATTCTACTTTATTCTGCCCATCCCTTGTGTCTGTGTGAAAGATATTTAGTTATTAAGGTTTAACTTCTTTGGTCATTTTGCTTTACTAAAAGGAGATAAAGCTATATTTGATCTTTCTGTAGATTTCTTCCAAATCAATTTTTTAAGCAAGGTTGAACATGTTTTAGGTGTTTGACCATGTCACTGTGAGGTTGGATTGTTAATTTAGTCACACAAGTATCAAGCATGAGTTTCCATTGTCAATATGAAAGTTGTATTCTAATTAACAATATGACTGTTAAGCCGAAACAAGTTAGTGTATTAAAAAAAAAATGCTTAGGGAGAAGGAAGGGTATACCTAAATCGCATCCCCCACAATTTGACACTAGCAACGGGTAAGTTCTACCCGTGAAAATCCTCTGGTTTCCTTTTCAATTGTTCCACTGATTTGCCTACTGAACTGTCCTCCAATCTTCAGCATGAATGATGTGCAAGCAGGACCAATAATCCAGATCAATTTTACTGCCCACCATAACATATGATTACTAAATTTTCCTGATAACTAAGTCTGGTCATCTACAGCTAATGGATGTTTATTTTTCAGACGAACTCTACAAAAATGTGGCCAAAGTAATCACAACTTGGAAGAAGCTTTTGAAATACTATCTAGCATCCATAGATGAGGAGGTGAGTATCATTATATCTGGCACTTGTCAAATTATCACCTATTTACATTTTGTAAACTTTTTTTTCCCAAAAATACATCTTCTATTTTGCATTTGGGAGGTACAGTCATCAATTTTTGTTTAGTCGTCATTTGATGCAATTTCATTTCGGTATGCTTGCATAATTGTAATGCTATGAAAATGATTACATCTGTATGTAACTGGATTTGTTGGAACATAACTGCATAGTACTGCCCCCATCCCACTAAAAAGGCCCTTCTAGAGACTTGTGACATGTACACCAATGTGATTGATTTGCCTGGAACTAGGTGGTCATTGTTTGTGGGACGGGTTGCATTCAAGCTTCTTGTTATCGTGATTAATTAGTGATTCTAGTTGTTAGCTGTTGTTGGAATCTATTATTATATTTGACTTTTGCATTACAGAACAAACCGATTTACATTGTACGTGAGATTGTGAGAACTTCTGAAGTGGTATGGGTATACTAGTTTGGTGGAATTTTAATTCATCGTGTGTTGTGACTTTTTTGCAGATTGAAGTGATACTAAAGTTTGAAGAAATTTGTTCAGAGTCCGCAAAGGAACTGTCTCCTTTATTTTCTCAGGTATATCAAATTCTGAGCTGGCAGTTCTGCTAAATAATACATGTTTGTTTGCTTGGTAATGATCACCTCCTTAACTATCATGCCAGATTTTACTGATCCACATCTTTACTTGTGTTTAATTGCAGATTTTGCATTTTCTATATTCGCTTGAAATCATCCAAGAAGAAGCAATACTAGCTTGGGAATCCGAAAAACAAGGAGCAGATGAAGTAGATAGAGTTTTCTTGAAGCAAGCTGAATCATTTATTGAAGTAATAGTTTGTTATCCTGTTTACTTACAATAAGTCATACATTTTATTTAATTTTTTATGTCCAAGGTCCATTTCTGCATTTTTCTCTGAAGTTGATTCTTCCATATTGGTGCAGTGGCTAAAAAATGCATCAGAAGAGGAGTCCGAAGAAGAGGAATGAGCTGTACTAAATTTGTTGATAGTACAGCTAACATGGATAGACCATCGCATGGGTAATGCCCATGTGTTTCCTAATCGTCATGGAGTTTCAACTTATAACTCCTGAAGTGGACAAGTACAAATATTATGCTATGAGATTTCCAACTGTAAAATTCTGGTCAAGAGCCATAGAATGAAGCTGCGGCACCAGACCGGATGCAAGGGATTTCATGCAAATCATGGGCTAACTTAGACTTTTGAGTCAGTCTGATATTCTCGTTACTTCATATTGAACTTGAGTTTCTCATACGGGTAAATTGCTCTTTGTTGGATCTGACCTGAAGCCATGTTTTCCTGATTTTACCTTGTGGGGAAGCATGTTAAATTTTGAAGTGGATAACATAAGCCAGTTGTAATGTTATTTTGCAAGAATATTTTGGAAATATAATATACAAGTATATGTTTTCCAATGGTTACCTTGCTTAGTTGCTTCTTATTGCAAATTCACTGTACACCTGGTGCCCTTAAAAGAAAGTCTGTTTCGCGGCCTTAAAACCAGCTTGTCCATTGTCATGGACAAGTTGTGTATGGCGGTGAGCTGGAGATACTAGCTTCATGGTATTAATGGTGTAATCTCAATTTTTTTAGCCAGCATAAGATTTAAGGGCTCATACTGAATTGGCTCAGAATATGGAATTCATAAGATTGACCAGGGGAAATGTGTTTGTAGTGATCGCTAATTGACATTGAAAGAACTGGTTAAGTATTGGCGCATAGCTCCTATATGTTTTAAAAGCATAAAATATGGTAAATTGTACCACTACAACATAATAGGTGATAGGTATTTTAGGAGAAAATAATCAACAACAAAGGATGACAGAATGTAGCACTACATTTAATGATACATTATAAATGCATAGTAAAACACAAATTATGCACCACGATAAAAAAAAAAAAAAAAAAAAAAAAAAAAAAAAAAAAAAAATTCAAATGAAAAAAAATAATAATAAAAAAAAAATCATAATGCTCTCCTATATGCATGTTTAACATATACTTCGCAAGTGTTATGCCCCTGTATGCACTCGAAAGAACTTGGTTGAATGGGAAAAGTTATTTTTTTGTTTTTTTTTTTTCCGAGGAATGGCACATTTTCCCAATGTATGCACAAGTTTTCCTCTTTATGCCTCCCTTCTATGTTCCTTCTTTTCTAATATTCATCTTAAACCAAATTGAAACAGACATATATGCTCCGAGATGCTTAGTTGTGAGTTAGCGAACCAGCTGAACAAAGTTGAAAGATCATCATGCTAAAGAAGGAGAGGCATAAGACATACCAGGTTTCAGATACATAACATACACTTCATTATTGCAAACTTTGAAAATTGGTACATTTTGGGCTGTTTATAGATCCGAATGAAGAAAAAAAAAACATGAATTACACTCACAATCAACATATATCAATGACACAGTTATTACGGAATTGGCATACCACAAGATCAGACAGAAGGTTCACTTCGCGAAATCAGAATTCCATCAGCGTCAGCATAAAGCCATTCACCATCACAGATTCTTGTCCCAGCAATTGTGACTGGAACATGCTTATCCCCTAAGCCTTTCTTGTTGGCCTTCATAGGGTGAGAGGCCAAAGCTCTGACCCCAATATCACAGCTATTGATTTCATCAACATCCCTGATACACCCATTCACGACTATTCCTGACCACCCATTGTTCTGAGCTTGCTGTACTGGGTTGCCTCCTAGTATTGCACATCGTAAGCTCCCACCACCATCAACAACAAGAACTCTACCATTGCCTTTCTCCTCAAGAAAATCACGGATTAACACATTGTCCTCGAAAACCTTGACAGTGACTACTGGTCCGCTGAACACTTGGCGTTGGCCATATATGTGAAAGATTGGCTGCAGGGCTCGTAATTCACCACTTTGAATTAAATGTGAATTAGCATCACAAACTTCAGCTGTTGCCACCGAAGCCATGTTATTTAAGTACCTGTAGGAGGATATATGCAAAGGATTTACAAGTATAATAAGTTAGTTACCTAATTTCTAAGTGATAAATATTGAAAAGAAAAAAAAAAAAAACATGGTGAGCAGGTGAAACATTGGACCTAAAAGGAAGAAAAAAAAAACATACTACTGATACTAGTGTCATCAAAAATCAAAGCTGACCCAACTATGCCTTTATAGAGGCTCACTCGCCTTAGGCAGGTAAGGTAGAAGTGCAGAACTGTATCTTTCATATGAAGCTCTAAAGAGACTAATTCTAGTTGACCCTTAATCCAACTACAACAGGCAAATCCTAGTCATGTTAAATATGTGATTAAGACATGTTTGACGCATGACTTAGGTTTTCAAGGTTTTGGCGGAGGAACCTTCTCTCATCCACGAAGAAAAGTTGCAAAGAGAGAAGGGGAGAGGGGGGAAGGAGAAACAAAACAGGCCAAGGACGAAGCCTAAGTCAGCAAAGTTCGTGGCTAGACCTATATGTCCACTTCTGCAGCCTACATTTTTCAACCTAAACACTTAACAGAAATTTTACCGCCTCATCTAGCAAAACATTCAATGAAAGAAATGTACCTCAGAAGGGTAATAATCTTTTGCTATATTATCTCGACATTAATCAGAGCAGTACAGAACGTTTCTTCCTTAATCACACAGGCATAGGCAGTATAGAAGAAAGGAGTCAAAGTACAACCAATACTTGATATTGGATCAACATAACACAAATTCATGAGAGCATTTCAGTTAACAAAACACAATCAATATTACAATGACTTCATCTCTTCCACCTGATTTTTACTTAAGTGATTAGAATCAAAAACTTAAATTCATTGGTTAAGCTGAGCTTTATTACTCCCTCTGTCTCTAAATGTTATTCGGACATTGACTTTATCTTTTGTGAGAGAATTAACATCTAAGCGTTGCAACATCTAGAGATGGAGGGAGTAGTTTTTACAGATCTTTGCTGATTAAAACTTATTTTCACTTATCAAAATTGATTATTATGGAAACATCGTTTTTTTTTTTTCCTTTTAATCATACCTATAAATCTATAATTAGTGCTAATCACCAATATATACACACTTATGTAATTAATCCAGAAAAAACACACCTACAATTAGCAATCTAAGGATTTTTTACTGTTTTTTTGGCTATCTCATACCAACTTTCTATTACTAATTTGGATAGAAAAAACAAAATCATCCCACATTTTTGGACTAATCCCACATATGAATTTTGGGAAACATGAAATCACAACTAGCAGCACAAATACTAAAACTTATAGGGAAAAAAATCAGACAAAAATACTCAAATATTTTACAGCTATTTGCATTCAAACAACAACATTAATTCATCTTAAACACCCAAAAAAAAAAAACCCAATAATACCCACTTTCGATTTAATTAGTCACTCAACCATCCAATCACTGAACAAAAATATTGACATAAAAAAAACGGAACCCCAAAAACATCACATAATTATCAACTACAGAATTATGATAATGAAACTGAAGAATTTATGGTAGTGCATAATTTTATGATCGAAAATAATAAAAACAGAAATCAATTAAAAGGGAAAAAAAAAGGAAATATATAACAATAATGGAGCTTAATTAGAGAATTAATTACCTCCCAAGTGAAAGCCCAAGAAATGAGAAGAAGAGGGAGAATGAGAGAAGAGAGAGAAAGAGTTTAAAGTTGTGATCTTTCAGGGCTCTTCAATCAATCTATGACAGAGATACTCTTTTTCTTGCTATTTATGATATTAATGAAATAATTAAATGATTTACTAGGACGAATAAAACGATAAATTATGGGTATTAGCCTTTTATTATTAACTAATGACACAGTGATAGATACTCTTACGGTCTGCTCGAAATGGACATGTCAAACGGGTCGGTTGGGTTATTTTCGGCTAATCTTACTTTTGAGATCCGTAAATATGTTTAGTTGATAATGAATATTCTGTATAAGACATTAACATTATCACATATTCTATTTTTTTTGAAATTTAAATACAAAGCTTTCTTTCTGATCGGAGTCAATTCGCCCATTTTTATGGTCATTTGGAGTGGTTAGATTTAAATAAAATGCTACTTGTACTTATCAATTTCATATTATCTTAATTTTATGACAATAAAATATTTATACAATAACAATTAAAAAAAATACAGCTCAAACTATAGATTATTTTGAGAAATGACAACAAAAAGAAAAACACAGTTGGTATCAAACAAACTTGCAAAATCTCCAAAGTAAAAGAAATATACCTTTCCCCTTTGTCAAAACTCAGAAAAGAATATGCGTATCACCACTACTTTATTATCAACTTATTCATGTGACAGCATTTTCTTAAGTTTCATTATCCAACCATTACTCTTTTTTCATATTTCTTCTGTGTTATAATGATTCTTGAATAATTTGTACATTATTGTATATAAAGTATACCATGACTCCATGATATCCAAGCATGATCCTAGTTCGTTGTAGTTTATCCTTCTCCTTACCATTAAAAAGTTCAAAAAACAAAAAGTTTGTTACAGTTTATCATTGTAATTAGTAATAAGTCGCCAATAATCTTACAAAAAGTCCTCGTAAAGTTGTATCGAGTAACTGATTAAGCATATCGCAATTATAATCTGAATAAAAACTCGCTTATTCAAGCAACAAGTTTTGTTACTAAATCTGTGAGTGAGATTAATATCATTGTCTTGTCCCTATTCCTTTGTTTCAGAGCTTTGCCTAGTTACGGCCTTGTATAGGAGTTCATCCCAACAAAAATAAAACCTGTTTATTAGTGTTACAGTTTCAGAAAGAAAGTTGGAGGAAGAATAAGCATAGATGAATGATTGAATGCCATAAAAGCAGCCAGTTGAATGCCAAACCATATCTACTGCCTTAAAAACACGAATTATAACATCTTAAAATCTCAAAACCGAGTATACATCCACTCCCAAATTACAATATCAGAAGATTCAGACAAAGTTTAAGAGAAATTACAAGCTCAAACAATAAACAAGCTATTCTTGCTGTAAACAGGACAATTCAACTATGGGACAAACTACCCAATGCAACTGCTAATATTATCTTAGCTAGCTAGAAATCATTCTATAAGCTTGTGAATAGTTTCCATATCAACGGCTTCATTGAGAGTGCCTTTCTCGACATGATCCCACCATTTGTACAAGAAGTTGTCAACGACCAGCCTGAACCAGGGGGAAAGAGTCACACCTTCCTCACCTGCATCAGCTTTCCGGAAAATCTCCTTGAGATCTTCTCGACTGACATACTTGGCATCAGCAACTTCATCAGGATTAGGTTTCACTGTGACATCTCTTACTATGAATAGCAAGTAATCAACTGCAACATGATGCGAAGAAAAGTCAGTATGACAACATACTTCAGAATGATAGAAAAAAGGGAAGGGGGGATAGGGAACTGCTCTTGCACAAGTATGGAGTATGATTTTTATAAATTCTTAATGACCAGCAGGAGGTCCACTAGAACGAATTGCAGAGCAGGACAGTCCTGTGACTAAAGACGGCACTAGGCCGGGCCGGCCCAAGGCCCGGCACGAAAAAGCACGGCAAGGCACGTGCACAATGTAGGCCCGCACGGCACGGTATTGTGCATGTGGGCCGTGGGCCGCGCCTGGAGCGTCTTTATTCGGGAGAAGCATGATAAGTCGATAAAGCACGACTAGGTCTGGCACATCAAAGCATGCTAAAATCAATGCAATTTTGCTTATGTACGCAAGCTTGGCACGGCACGAAACTTGTGGGCCGAGCCTAACTAACCCCAAAGCACGTGGACCGGGCACAGCCCAAAGCCATCTTTACCTGTGACTCCTGGCCACTTCCTAAAATGTCGATCAGTTAGAGCCAGAAATAGCCGGTATAAACCTGGGCCAATAGCTAGAGTCCTAAAGAAGCAGGAATTGCCGAATTGGGTTGTTCATGAGAGAATATTATTAAAATGCAAATGCTGATACATTGACTGCATTTTAATAATTTTTCGCTTTTGCAGAACTCCCTTACTAAAGTAACATTTGCTGTTAGAGTTATTTTTCTTAGCACACCAATATCATTTTCAGCTCCTTGATCATGCAAAAAATATGTGGTTCAGATGCAGAAAACTGCACTGGGGATATTCTAAAATGTGCATATTATTTAGAATCTCATACCTTTAATGAGGAGCCAAATAAAAAAAAATGGTACTCTTATGACCCCATCACAGAACATCATGAGAATGGATAATGAGCTAGAAGCTATAAAGAATATAACTCTTGAACTATCGAATGTAAAAACTAATAAAGGAGACATAAAATAGGGGAAATAGTTTAAGAACTTACGTTCGTGCTCTCCCCATTTTCCATCTGATGGGGCTTTGTACAACATACGTCCAAGCGGAGTAAATTGATCAACTGGCACATCTTCAGCTGGAATACCGAGCTCGTCCAAAAGCTTCCTCTGAGCAGCATTCCTCACACCTAACAACACAGAAATTGATTCAGATTTCATACCATATGTTTAGACATAATAATGTGTACATTTTGGGGCAAAATTTGAGTACCAAGAACATCCTCTTTCATCAGCTCTGACTCACGATACAAGGGATGACTACAGCAAGTGTTGGTCCACACTAGAGGGAAAGTCACCTTTGTCGCGGAACGTTGCTGTACAAAGAATGATAACAAGTCATGCATATATTTCAAGAAAACTGCTCAAAATTACGTTCTACATAATCTAGAAATCCTACTCAGCAAGCCTAGAATGCTAACATGACACAAAAGTCCCCACATAATGTGATATTGGAATCAAGTGGAGTATCTGTGAGCAAAGTCTCAGCTGGTGTGTAGTGCACATTTGTTTCATATCAAGCATGCAAGCAAATACAATTTAATCTGTCACTTTGAATTTTGACTGCCTATACAAGACAGATCAGAAAAATAAGGAATCTTTAATAAGAAGCAAAAAAAGACAATTTGCTGACAATGAGAGTGATAACGCATATGTAGACACAAGAGCCTGATCAAAAATCAGATCCTCAGGAACTTCAATCTTAATTTCCTTGAAAGGATGCAAGGACTATTAAATAACTGATCACACATACAAGAGAGTCATCTTATTTTCAAAAAAAAAAAAAATCTAGAAACAAATGTTTTCAAATGCACAATAACATACTCATAGCTATTAATAGGTTTGTGTTGTGGACTCATGGCCCAAGGTTGTTGAAAAGAAAAGGGTAATTAGCAAAAAATACAAGCAGCATAAATTGGAGGGTTTCAGTTATAAAAAGTAAACTATGTACGTCCGGTAGTATTGAAGGAAGAGGGGTTGGGATTGTCAAGAAAACAAGGGAAAAAGAAAAGAAAAAAAAAGAGCTAGATTTGATGACATATTCCACTCAGTTGTCCTAATAGTCTATTAATATATGTAATCATATCATACTAAAATATATAGACCAATGAAAAAAGTAGGGAAGCAAGAACAAGAAAATTGACTTCTTTTTCATCTCTTAGGTCTAGAATGCCCCATTGAAAAGTAAATGAAGACCAAGCAACCACTATTGACCGAGGACTTTATAAATACGTAGTAGAAAAAATTCAGTTAGATCAAGCTGATAAAAAACTGACTGCAGAGAACTGTACTTATAAGAATATCGGGTGATAATTATCACTAAGAAGGTTACATCAGCGACAGCTGAAGGGAAAAAGATTATTCTGCTAGTTTATAATTTATCATATGAACAAGCCTTTCTTGTTTCTTTCTAGGTCAAGGCTTCTAAATCTCAGCCAAAGTATTTCTAATCACTCAACAATAAACTTCGACATTAAACAGACAATTGTCAATTTAAAAATGGTGAAGCAGGCGACATACCTGAAGCAGTAATTCGTATTTTGAATTGAACAGAAATACACTGAAAGCTCTGTGAAGTGCCTTCCCTGCATTAATAGTCTCCATCAAGTGACCTGTAAAATGTGAGCAAATTCAAAGAATAAGAAAACCATTATTGTGTGCTAAGAAGATCCGTGGTAGTATAATGCATGTAACAAGAGAGCTACTAATTTCAATACAACAAGTAAATTTCTTTTAGAGCTAACCATAGACCAAAGAAAGACATTTCAATTCTATTATAGTGATTTGATTTATTTGTGCTGCATCTAACTATCTATTGTCTCTATCAATCTCTTCATGAAAAACAGATTGTTAAAGATAATAGAGCCCAATTACTCTTATTGTATGCTCCAAAAGGTTACATAACGGTTAAAAGGAAAATTTATCAGTTACTACCTACCAAAGTAAGGGGTTTATCAGTTACTACCTTAAAAAAAATGTTAATTGCTACCTTTTGAAGCAGTTTGTGATTACTATTACTACCTTGTATTCTTTTCAGGCTGAATAATCTGGCGATAATGTCATAAAGCGGTCATATCGAAATTACTACCATATAACTAAATAAGAAAAGGCGAACTAATATAAATCATTAAACCCCTAATTAAAACCACTGACAATATATCCACGTTCAATGTCAATTGTTATTTTATTTTTTGACATCAAAGCTCCGATTTCCCACGAATTTGTTGCAAATCTATGTGGGATTTGACAAAAATGAATAAAATATTGGGTAAAAGAATTGAATTTTATAAATCCCTAATCAGAAAGATGAACCAGGAAAATGTGAGAGAAGTGTCCATGGTGTTAATGATAATAAATGACCATGATTAAGAAGATAAGAGTAAAATTTACTTTACTAGGTCAAGATCATTCAATTCCCTTGTTATTAATATATAGCGGATTAAATGTTTAACACACATTATGACATCACAATCGGGCAAAACTCGCCGAAAAGCTAGTAAAGGTAGCAATAGTAATCATGACCCCTCATAAAAGGTTAATTAACAACTTTTCAAAAAGTAATTGACAAACCCCCTACTTTGGTGGGTAGTAATTGACAAATTTTTTTTATTAAACTACAAAGTTCCAAGATAAAATATAAAAAGTGGGATATTCAGGTTAGAATGGTAAAGCTAAAGATACTACTCAACCTAGGATAAAAGACAGCCCTGATTACTCAGGCTTACATCGAACCAAAGATAAACTTATGCTAAATGTGACAGAAAAATATATCTAATAAAGCTTATAATGGCTTTCTACCAGCATACCAATGATAGAATAAAGCAGAATATATTTCATACACCATTAACAAGTCAGTTTTAAGGCATCAGGCATCAAGCGGTAGTCATGGTTTGCTATATGCTAGTGATACCACTACCCATTCAATTTAGCAGGAAAACAGGATCCAATGCACACCATAACTTTCATGTTATTAATATGAAACTCAGAAACCTATTGATTGAAAACAATCACTGATAGTATTTACTATCAAGTATCAACTTCAGGGCTTAAGTGTTAAGAGTGTAAACCAAAGAGGCAATTCAGCAGAAACATGTTAACTTCAGTGGTCGAAATGCCTAAACAGGTCATCATATCAAATGTGACATCTAGGGCAACCCACATACCAAAGACCATGTTAGTTGTTAATTTGGAAGTAACATAGAGTCGGGATCATTCTAAATTTTGTTTGTACAAAAGGAAGATAACAAGAAAATCTTAGCAAACAGTTATATCTATGAAAAGGCAAACTACGAGAGGTGAAGAAAAACTCACAGTTGTACTTGCTATCATGACCAATAACGTTGTCACTCTCATCCACCAAAATACATCTGCAAAATAGATAAATTAGGTATTAAAAAGAGGGTATATGTTGTAATTGAGTCTTTGAAGTACTCTAAAATGCAATAGTGGGAGATTTAATACAATCCCAGATTTCTAAATTCTAATATATAAATATAACTAACCATAAGAAACAATTATAATCTCATAAAGCATTTGTTAAATATAGGTAGTTTATTCATTAAGATTTGATGGCAAAAAAAGTGAAATGCACCAAAAGCCTAGATGCTAATACATATATAAATTTTGTGATTAATCATCAAGGGTCCTGACTTAGAATTTGTGATGTACTGTAATCAATTCGTCGCCAACAAGTCCACTCAACAGCGCGCTGTGCAACCTTGACAATGGGCAGTGCTAGACAACAAGCAAAAAAACATAGAGCACTTGCAGAATCGGATAAATATTTAAGATCATCCTATTATCTTTCAAAGCATATTGATTTAGTGAATTACAGATACTTATTTGATTTCTATCAACATAAACACAAGTCAAATATGATCCAAATTTTGGCAAAGTACATACAATTAACATGTTTTCCAGAAAAGTAAGCATATCATTTAGCAATTATGGTACGTTCTCATAGCAGACTACCAACCAACCACTAGCATTAATATTATTTATTAAAATTAATTAAACTATCATAAACAAATATCGCAGTATGATGAGTAAAATCAGCAGAATTGAAGCAATAAAAACATGACCCAGATCAGCATTATCCATTAATTCAAACCCCATCACTCCAAAACAATCATCAAAACAACAAAAAATTTAATCAATTGACATAAAACCCAGATAAACCCAGAAAGATAAAATAAAAAAAAAACATCATCAGCAGGCATTAATTCAAAGGGCAAGCTTAAAAATGGATTATAAAGTGAAAAAATTATACTCACTCATCCTCAAACATGAGTCGTCTTTGAACAGCATCCATGGTGGAATCAGCAAGTACGTCACCCATGGTTGAGGTGGCGAAAGATCGAGCAGAAGAAGAAGAAGAAGAAGAAGAAGAAGAAGAAGAAGAAGAAGAGGAGAGAGAAAAGGAAGACAGAGATTTGGGGTTGTGAAGAGAAAGAAAGAGAGAAGGTTTATAGAGGAGAGAGAAAGAAGAAGGTTGGTTGAATTTATAGGCAGTGGTGGCGATACATTTGAGATGCGATGCCATTTCCACTATTATTATTATGTTGTTTATACTTCGTACTATTCTAACTTGGGACGACGATGAATCGATGATTAATACTTTTATTTTCTTCTCAATTGTCTTTTATTTTTCTTGGCATCTTTTACCACTTTGCTTAATCTTGCTCTATTCTATTCCCCTATAGGGAATGCCTAACCCGGAGTGACTCAATTCGGAATTTGACCTTATACGGGTATAATAATTTGGCATGACCTATAATTATAAATGACTTTGTTTAGTTAGACATATTCTGACCTATGATTCAATTTGACACCTCGAATTAATTTGTTGCTAATTAGAAATTTGATTATTGTGTTGCTTTGTACTCCCTCCGTCTCCGATTGATAGTCACTTTTTCCATTACAAAAACACTTGCGTGGACCTGGTCCACAATAATATTATTGTGGTCCCGAAGTCTATACACACGCAACTGACATTATTTTGAATATAGTGACCATTATTTTTAACATAGTAACCTTATTTTTAACATAGTAACCTTTATTAAAACTACTACAACGTTTAATAATATTGTGAACTTGAAATACGGCGCTACTACCCTAATTTTAGCATAGTGGCCTTTATTATTCATATTGATCAATATATAAAATATTTCATTACAAAAATAACCACTTAGGCCTATATATTACCACTGATTTTTATTTCAACATAGTGACCTTTTTTAAAATTATAGTGACCCTTTTTTTGTTAATAAAACAACCATACTTTCTCTAATGTTAGTGGTCCACAATAAATTAGTGTGAACCAGGTCCATTTAAGAATTTACAAATCTTGCGTGAACCTGGTCCACAACAATATTATTGTGGACCTAAGGTTTATACACACGTAACTGGCATTATATTCAACATAGTGACCCCTAATTATATTATAGTAACCTTATTTTTAACATAGTAACCTTTTTTAAAACATGTATGACCTTTAATATTATTATGAATTTAAAGTACGAAATTATGTTGAATAATAACCTAATTTTAACATTATGATCTTTATTATTCATATTGACCATTATATTAAAATTTTCATTAAAAAAAGTTAAGCTGTTATAGCTTTTATAATGTCACATTAACTTTTATTTCAACATAATAACCTTTATTTTAATATAGTGACCTTTTTTTTATTAATAAAACAATCATATTGTCTCTAATGTTAGTGGGGCACAATAAATTAGTGTGAACCAGGTCCATTTAAGAATTTGTATTGCCATTATTGGTGACTCAAAATGTTAGTCAAATTTGTTTTTTTCAATTACCATTAATATTATCTTTTTACCAAAATTCTTAGTTGTATGTTTACTTTATTACAAATATTAACAAAGATAAAGACATAACACTCATATTACCAAGTATGTATTGTGAGGTTTGTGTGCTTTGTATGGAATTATATGTTTTAAATTTGATTATGTAAATCTTTAATAATAGTTGATTCATTTCAATTCCAAATTGAATGAGAATATGGATTTATTCAAATTGGATCAACCATATCATTTCATGAGATATGTGTTTACCCATTCATCTTATATCCTTGATATACTAAGTAAAATATTGCTTTTTTTTATTATTTTTATTACCAATTAAAGTTGATCTAAGATCATGATAAATCATATTCTTTGTACTTAACTACTTATACAAGATATTAAGAGAATGGGGAATAAATAACTTAACTACTCAAGTGGTTAAAGTTTCCTTCCCCAAATTCCAGAGATTCTGGGATCGATTCTTACCCTCGTCTTTGTGGCTCTTTAAACAACAAAAAAATATAGATATTGTTTCACTGCCCTTAAAAATTAACTTTTCCTACCATCTTATTATTGGTATTGACTATTCAATTATTATTTTTCATGGGATGTTTTATGTTGACTATTGAGTATAGACAATATAGTCATGCCCACTCAATTTGATTAAGTAAGCCGGTGTATAACAGTATATCCAATAAATTTCATGTCAATAATGTTGTGTTAATTGTTTTTGATTTTTTTTTTATATTGAAGGTCGGGGTGGTACCTTATTTTCTAATTTCTACCTTACATATGAGCAAGATCAAATGATAACACATAACAAATCAAAAAAATCATATCACCTTAAATAATTACAAAATCAGTACAGTGATGATCAACTGATTGAGTATATCAAATGTGTTTAGAATCATTTAAAAATGGTAATGATATTGCATAATATATTCTCTACCTCATTTATGGAGTAAAAAATAACAATGACTTGATCTTGTGATCTCACTAATTCAATGATTTTTTAAATAAAAGATTTGTTGTCATGTAAAATTGTAAAGTTGTTGACTATCTATTTGTAACCAATGAAACATTATAATTGAATCAAATTCTATCAAAAAAATTAAAATATACTCCGTATTGAATATGCACTTGAAAATGATTCCAAATTATTTACTGTGTATAAATTAAATTTACGTTCGATGCACAGTACGTAGTAAGTTTGTAACCCGTAAAATATAATTCTATTATGGAGTACTCTATATTTCATTTTCTTTTAGTTAGCAGTGTTATATTATTAGCTCCCGGTGCATGACTTATAATAACAACAAATGTTAAAAATTAGTCGTAAAAAAATCAATAGCATGAATGATTTTGGTCAACTTAATAAAAACGTTTTGTTTTTACAATTGGTGCGTGGAACTCATGGCTACTTGGATAACTCGTGAAACTCGAGGGTACTTGGATTGCTTGTATTTATTGAACTTCATTATACAAATAAAGTCAACCATATACCACTTTCCACAAGTCACCATGTCCTCTATGGCCCTGTGCATTACTACCAATAAATGGACAATTAGGGATTTGTTGGAAATACTGTTATGGAGTACTTTAAGGGCATGTTCAGCTTAATTTCAGTTATGTTCTGTTCAGCTCTAATCAATTCAGTTTATTTTTAATTTTCTTCTCTCATAAATAATTCATTTCAACTCTATTCAGTTCAATTAAGTTGTTTTCAGTAAATCAGATTAACTAGATCCTAAAATAATCGTCACATAATTGTGTATTCAACCATCACAAGTTAGACTTTAAGTGTATGAGCCGGTGAGGTATCAACTAAGGGTATGTTTAGTTCAGCTCCAATCAATTCAATTCAGTTCAGCTTTTAGTTTCCTTTTTTCATAAAATATTCATTTCAGCTTAGTTCAGTTACAATCAATTTAGTTCAGTAAATGTGAATAGACCCTAAAGTAGCTCATGGTTTCACCATAATCAAATTGCAGTTTAGGGCCAATTTTGATAACTAAAGGTTCATTTGGGTATAACCGTGGTTTTTTATTCTTTCAAAATCATATTATACATAATACATGTTATAAAATAAATCAAAAATTAGTCAAAATTATTAAATTCTTGATGATTTTAAAATGCCTGTATCCTAACCGTTGTAAAAACCCGAACCCAAAATAACTCGACACGAAACCGAACCAAGGGTGGTGAATTGGTGATGTAGCATACTAGCCTAGTAAACCGAGACAAGTGAAACCTACATGCTACACCATTGCTAAAAATTTCCCAGAACTCTCGAAGAACAGAACGAAAGAAAATGTGGAAAGACAAGCCTACTGGAATTAAGATCCTCTGGATATGGACCATCGGAACTGCTGCCAGTACTCTTTCTCTCTCCTCCCTTTCCTTCCTCATTTCTTCTTCCTACTACCAAGCATTTCCACTGATTTTCGTTTTCTCTCTCCTCCATTGCAGTTCTTCTTACTGGTGTTTCCAGAACCAGGATGCGGGACATGGAGAAGCTTTTGAATGAGCCACAACAACAGCAGCAGCAGCAAGGGATCTCTTCCGTTGATCATGTTTTGGTAGATGGTTCTTCATCCTCTGATGATAATATCATTAGGGAAGATAAATTATAACTTTATAAGGAATCATCCCCTTTATAATGATTCTGGGAATTTTAATGAGGTTGTGCTAGATTGTTGCAGGAAAATTTGGTGTGTTTTTTTTTGTAATGCATGCCAAGTGTTTGATAAAATGTCTCAATGAAAAAATAGAAATAGCACTGTTTGTGTTATTTTGATGATCTTTCTGCTCTTGTTTGGGCTTACTCTTTTGCTTGTGCTGTTTTTGATTTTGACTACTGGCATGAACTTTGCTACCTATGCCCATTACATTTCCCTTACTCAATTTTACTATATGCTTCTCAATTTAGCTGCTTTCTAGTTATATTAGTCAAGTCTTTTTTCTGCCACATTGGGGCTAAGGGACTCGATTCCAATTCTTTTTACGAAACCTCCACTAATAACAAGAACTAATGCTTTGTTATTTTTCTACATCGACCAAAATGAAGATCAGGACGGTTGAGAGTCAACTTTAGGAAATCAGCTCATTGTATATTTGTATCAATCCTTTTTTACTTAAAGCGTAGTAAGTGTCTTAAGGCGTGCTTAGTAATCTGGTTTTGGCCTGGATGAAATGGCTTGTTATAGTGTTAGCGGAACAAGAGCATAAACAAGACAATAAGACTAAGAAGTAAGAACCCTTTCGACAGGAAGAGTTCCACAACAAATCTTTAGTGAAATGATATGTAGTAGCCATTTGGAAATAGCTTTTCTGATACTTTGTAATAGTTAGTGGTATGATTGTGTAAATCTTGACCTCTATAGGAGGATGTAATGATGTATACTAGGTGGAGTAGGTGCTTGTCAACTTGTCGTTTTATATGAGTGGATCCTCAATTGGGTGAATCCATTGCAAACATTTTCTTCATTTTCCTTGACCAAATCACCAGCTTAGTACTAAGAAGAAACATAAGAAAGCAATCTTGCAAGAAATCTTTATGAGTACTTTTAAGTCATTCTGAGTTGGGCTTTGGGATCTTCATTCTCCTTGACTGAATCAGCAGCATAGGACTAAGAAGAAACATAAAAAGGCAATCTTGCAAGAGATCTTTGAGTGCTCTCTTATGTCATTATTCATGAAATCATGAGTTGGGGTTTGGAATTTTCTTCACTCTCCTTGATTGAATTACCAGCATAGGACTAAGAAGAAGCATAAGAAGGGAATCTTGCAAGAAATCTTTGTGAGTGCTCTTCTGTCATAATTCATGAGTTGCCGAGTTGG